CTCCCCTCCCCTCCCCTCCCCTCCCATTTCCTGCCTCTTCCGTCATCCATTCAACCTGTACCCAGCAGGCCAGGCCAGTTGCAGATGTTAAGGAGACAGCAATGGACAAAGCAGACAAATCTGCCTGACCTTAAGAGCTAACTTTCTTGCAGTAAGGGAAGGCCTAACAGACAAACAATAAAATGACAAATAAAAAATTTTATACCATGTTAGAAAGTGATAAATGCTTTGGAAAAAATGGCCCAGGATAAAAGAGATTGGGAGTTCTTGGGAGAGAATCACTTTTAGTTAGTGAGGTTGCAGAAAGTAAATGTTGCTTCATTGAGAAGGTAATATTTGAGCAAGGGTGGGTAGGAGATGAGGAAGTCAGCCATTTGAATATCTGGAGGGAGACGATTCTAGACAGAAGGAATAGACAGTGCAAATTATTAGCTGTATGGTTACATCATCTGAAAGTGGGAAAGTGCCTGGAGTATTTATGGAACAGCAGAGATGCCAGTGTGTGTGGAGTGGAATGACCAAGGAAGAGGGTAGTACAAGAAGGGCTAAGAGAGAATAGTGGGCCAGACCATGCAAGGCTCTGTAGGCCATTGTAAGGGTGTTATTCTGAGTGAAATGGGGATCCACTGGAGTGTTTCAAGCAGTTCGGTTTGGGACTCAATAAGTTTGTGATGTCCAAACAGAGACATCAGGAGGCAGTTAAACATATAAGCCTGGAATTTGTGATAGAGGTCCGGGTTCATGAGATAAATTTGGAAGTAGTTGGTATAGATATTTAAAGCCATCACCAAGGGTGAAAGGGTATAGTTACAAAAGTGGAGAGGGCTGTCCTAAGACTCTCCAGCATTAAGGTTGGGAAGAGAGGAGTTACCAGCAAAACAGACTGAGATCAAGTTGGTAGCATGGAAACCGAGAGAGTGAAGAAACCGTACCAAGGCAGAGGGAGTGACTCAAGTGAGTCACATGTTGCTTATGGTCAAGTACCATGAAGTCAAATACAGTGAGTCTGAGAATTAACAGTTGGATCTAGCAAGTGGAGGTCCTTGAACTCTATTAGGACAGGCAGAGCCTCATGAGAGTGGGTTTGAGATAACAGAAGAAGAGTTGAAAAATAGGCAACTTTTTCAAGGAGTTCGGTTACAAAGGGGAGCAAAGAAATGGGGCAGAACTTGGCAGGAAGGGTGGGGTCTCCTCTGCTTCCCTTCTCCTTTCCTACTAGGCATTTGTAGTGGCCAACTAAATGCAGCTAAGCGCTCTAGCTCACGCCACCAGCCTGAGAGATTATCAGTGCTTTCAGTATTTTGTAGTTCCATTATTACAGTATTTGAATTCTAAAGGACACTTGAGTACCCTGAACTGTCATCCTCATTCAGATCCACCAAAAGTTTTCCTGTAATTTTTGAAGTAATTATATATTGTTCTAAACTTTTCACAGAGTGATCTTTCCATGAACATAGACTAATGATAGATTTGGACATTTATACAAGTAATGTGTTTCTGTAGCCTGACGTTCCTAACGTCCATTTCTTATCAGTTCCCCAGCAAATCGATGCCAAGCAAATCCACACAGTGAAGGAGAAACTTTGCATGATGGTGCCAAGATTTGGGGTACAGATAGCATTTATATAATATGCTTCAATTTACATGAAAGGTGGAAACAGATTTTCAGTATCTTTGTGCCTGCAGCACATTTGACTTCTACAGTGATTACCCAGCGCTCTTAGAGCCCCTTAGTTTAGAATTAACATAGTTTGATGCCATTAAGGATGAGGGTCATTGTCTAATGCCAGAGACTTTGGAATTCCAGCTCTGATGAAAAACTAATAACTAATTCTTGTTGAGTCCTTGTAATTGAAAAGCATTTTTTTCTTTTGAAGAGTTTGTAGCTAATTCCGATCAATGCACACCACAAGTGCTGAGGTGCCAGTTGCCATGCTATACCCCATTGGATATGTGAGAAACAGTTGGCACATATGTGCCCCAGAGCATAATCCAGCAGCTTCCCAAGAACTTCTTGGAAACCTGCTTTAGGCCTGAGGACTCCCACCCCTGAAGTGCACCCCAGATCTTAAGATGGGTCTGAAAGGCATGTTGTTGTACCTGAAGAATGAGAGGTATAGTTGCTGTGTTCTTTGACTAAATTGGAATACACTAATTCCTAAGAATTTACTTACTTAAGTAGAAGGCTTCAGGTGCTGTCATTACCCATCTATCTAGATTGATTTCATCTGAGCCAGTGACATTTGTGTAGTTCCTAAAAGAAGGTCCCAGGCCCAAGCTACTACTAGCCTTAGACACCTACTGGATTATAAAAATCCACCAGAAATGAAAGCTTCAGTCTTTATGTGTGTCCTCAGACAAATAAATTCTGTGTTTCTGGAGACTTTTCTTGGGGGAATTGCCTCTTCCTTTTTCTGGAATTTTTATTTTATGAATTTTTATTTATATTTGACCTTTTTTTTTTGCTTTTTTTAATCAGTAAAATGAAGCAGTAGTGATAGGAATCTTTGAGCCATTAAATTTTATGTAGTACGTTTCCATTAAGAATCCCACTATATTTGTGATAGCTTGTAGCCTTCTGATAGCTCTGTGAGAGGTTGTATCAACCCACAGCCTACCATAGTGGGTAGCCTTGCAAAAAACCCACAAAAGACCCTGCTTGACCCTTACTCATGAAAGATGTAGTTTAAATCATATGGAATGGAGAGCCTCAATTTGCTGTCATTTCAGAGGAGTGTTTAAGACTTTTAGATGTTTACGATTTTATTCACAGTTCTTGGACGACTGATCTTCAAATACAATAAATGAATGTCCTAGAGATTTTAATACAGATACTTAATCTCTGGAGGGCAGGGATAGCAGTGCAAGTATATGATGAGATCTGTGTATTTATCTTACCTTGTGTATTTTTTTGAACCTTTATTGTGCACAAAGCTATTTTTAATTTAAGGGAAGGTGGAGGAGGGGGAACAGATCCCCTAATCTCACTACTTTCAAATATCTCAGAAACCTAAGTGGACTTGCTAAATCAGGAAAAGTCTTCAACAGGTTTGAGAATGAGCCTCTGAATTCCATACTGTTGCCTCCTGTCTTGGATAATGAAGTTATAGGAAATGGCTGCTTTGGTGGTAAGAAGAAGCAACTGAAAATGCTTCCCTCCAGCTGTCCTTGTGTAAGAAGATTATTCTTATTGGTAGGAAAATTACTTCTTTTCTAGAAATAAAGTAAAATGTAAGAAGGGTTGTTTTCATAACAGGACCTTTCTTGGAACTATATAGTGGCTGTAGAATTCTTAAGCATTTTGGAAAATGTCGTTTCTAATGTCAGCATAATCTGTCATAGCACTGTTCCCCTGGGAGCAGATCAGATTCTTCTTCGAGGCGCTCAATTGAGAAATACACAGTGGGTTCATGGAATAGTTGTCTACACTGGACATGACACCAAGCTGATGCAGGTGGGATTTTTATCTGTGAAAACCTTTTGGACCCAAGTCTTTTGAAAATATGCTATCTGTAGGTCTCGGTGCTGTAGTCCTAAACCTAGCAGATCATCTGTCATAGATACCTGAGCCCCACACTGTATATCCAGATCTCATTCTTCAGTGAGTGGGGCTGTGAAATGGCTCACTCCATGCAATAACACTAGAACGTTCCACCAGAGATCACCAATGCGTGAACACCCAATGATTTTGCATACCAGTCCACTGGCAGCATTTACTGACTATTGCAATGATTGACAAAAGTTGTCTGTGTAACGATGAGTGCTCTGCATTATTTATCTTATAATTTTATTTTATTACAATGATCACATTTTAGAACTTATTTTTATTTTTTATAAAATTGAAAGAAAAACTTGTAACTGTTTGTTAATAGTCAACTATTATGTTGACTGTTTTTCACAGCATTTTTATGTTAAGCCATTTTTAATCAGCTTTAATCCTAGCACTTGTAACATTTACACATGCCTGTGGCTGCTCCTTCTCTACATTATAATATCATGAGTGTTCAGTGGTGAGGTAGGTGTGGAAAACTCAGTTTTAAGGTACTAAATGAAAATCTGCTTTGAGGGCTGATAACTTTGTACATTGTAAAGGCACAAAGATGTTATCAACAGGCAAGCAGGACTGCTGTTAATGATTCCACCCCTAACTATTCTGTAAATTCTATAAATCATCATTTTATGTTGATTTTTGACATTTAAGTTTCTGTCATGTGGATGCCGTGGTTAGCACAGATCTTTTTTTTTTTTTTTTTTTTTTCCTTGCGTTATGCGGGCCTCTCACTGTTGTGGCCTCTCCCATTTGCGGAGCACAGGCTCCGGACGCGCAGGCTCAGTGGCCATGGCTCACGGGCCCAGCCGCTCCGCGGCATGTGGGATCTTCCCGAAACGGGGCACGAACCCGCGTCTCCTGCATCGGCAGGCGGACTCTCAAGCACTGCGCCACCAGGGAAGCCCAGCACAGATCATTTTTTATCATTAAATATAGCTCAGGAAACTTGCCTCCGTTATTCTTGATAGCACTACTTAGATTGCTGCTGTGTTTAGTAAAACAATTACTAAATGCCACCAAAAACTCTGGAAACCAGAGATCCTTTAAATGTTGTCTTCATAGTCTGGAATTTCCAGGTCTCTGGCTGTGGGTACATAGGTCACCTTCTCTGCATCTCTTCAGGAGCTGAGATGCTAGATGCCTTAGTCTACCCTGTTTGCTTAGGTAGTCAGGTAATGCATTATTCATCTCACCTGCCACAATGCAAAAGCCATGTCTACAAAAGGAATGTTATTTCCTTCTTTCTTACTGTTTTACATCGTAGAAAAAGGATTGGATAAAAAGGATACAGTGAAGGAAAAGAGGTAGTTAACCTTTGACAGCTTATTACATCTGATTGTTTTCCATATAATTCTCATGTGTTGAACCATGTGTAGGTTTTGAATTGTGACTGACTTTGTCATCTTCACCAAAATACTAGATACACATTACTAGATCATTTGTACACATTTCTTATCACTCATCTTTTGTTTCTTTTTACAGAATTCAACAAGTCCACCACTTAAACTCTCAAATGTAGAACGGATTACAAATGTACAAATTTTAATTTTATTTTGTATCTTGATTGCCATGTCTCTTGTCTGTTCTGTGGGCTCAGCCATTTGGAATCGAAGGCATTCTGGAAAGGACTGGTATCTCAATCTAAACTGTGAGCATTAAAGTACTTATTGTACTTATTTTTTCTTTCATTAAAACATGTATTTGTTTCACAACTGATCTTGGAATTTCCTATTTCAAAAAAGAAAACCTTGTTGCCAAGATAACTGGGCATTTAATCTTTATTTTTCAATGCAATTTCCAGTAAAAGTAAGTAAAATGTTACAATCTCTAAAATTTCAGAATCCTTAAAAATATAGTGAGTACTCTAAAATAGTATAAACTGTTATTTTATTAATGTTATTTTCATTTTTATTAATTTATTCTTTTAAATATTTTAACACAAGTGGTTACATAGCCATCTGGTAAAGAAAGCAGATTGAGTATACTTAAAGCACCAAAAAAGTATTTTACATGTTTTTAAAGTGTTAAAATTGAATGTACTTTCATTTGAACTCATGATTGCAGTGAATTCTGTTTTAATAGTCATCTTTTCTTAGGGAAAGTACTATTAAGTAGTTTCCTTTTTGGATCATTTATCTTTTTACTGAGTATTTCTGGGAAGTAAGTTTACATTTCCTTTTGATGAGCACTTAACCAATAAATATTTAATTTCCAAGTGTGTGAAAACAAGTTCTAGTAAAATTTTGTATCACAACTGATTTTCTCAGTTGTTTCTTATTATATTGATTTAGCTTTGTAGCTATTCCAGGGTTCTTGTTTTTTAACAGTCGTTGGTTTGCTATTTCAACATTAGAATTGTTAAGACTACCATCATTTTGTTTCTTCATATACTTTACAGTTTATCTGGGATAACTGTTCTACTTACATTATTGAAGAGGAAGAATATAATTTACCTAGAGCTGAACTTACCTAGGGTTCAGCCCTACATTGTTTTAGCTACCTGGGTTGGTTTTGCTGCTGTTGTTTGTTTGCTTTTAAGACATCCTTCAAACTGGAAATGCTTTTTAAAAATTCACGTGAGGGTTTCCCTGGTGGCGCAGTGGTTGAGAGTCCGCCTGCCGATGCAGGGGACACAGGTTTGTGCCCCGGTCCAGGAGGATCCCACATGCCGCGGAGCAGCTGGGCCCGTGAGCCATGGCCACTGGGCCTGCGCGTCCGGAGCCTGTGCTCCGCAACGGGAGAGCCCCCAACAGTGAGAGGCCCGCGTACCACAAAAAAAAAAAAAAAAAAAAAAAAAAAATTCATGTGAAAGTGATTCTACCTGGTTGAGATTCTACCTCAGTCCTGTCCCTAATATCTCTAAACTTCATGTTTTGAATGGGTTTGAAATACGTGGTAGTACTTTCTCTTTTTAGTACCATTATGCAGTTCTTAAAAGGGTTCACAACATCTTGAACACAAATGATGCCATTCTATCTTGAAGACTGTATTTGAGAATAAGAACATGTTATCAGCACAGTGTTCTTCCCACACTTTTAGATATACTATATAATACAGAAAATTCTTGTTATGCTAAAATTCTGGTTAATGCAAATAAAATATAAAACTGTAAATGACTTTTTTCCTACCTCCCCCAACAGATGGTGGTGCTAATAATTTTGGACTGAATTTCTTGACCTTCATCATCCTTTTCAATAATCTCATTCCTATCAGCTTGTTGGTTACATTAGAAGTGGTGAAATTTACCCAGGCATACTTCATAAATTGGGTAAATATGAATTATTATTGTTTTTTATTACATGAACATACATTTTGTCCTTTTTCCTGATAGGGTCTTTTGATCTTTCAGGAAAAAAATCTTAATTATGCCTTACTTTTTATTGACTACAAGACAACATTTCAAAATTTTTTTGAGCCTTATATAATATAATAATAATAATAATAAATTCATTTGACATGTGAAAATCGTAACAAAGTCTCTCATCTCAGAATCACACAAGTTTACAGACCAGACACGCTGGGGAAAATAGGTCTGTAGTTGAGGAAACCTATTTTTTGGTTACATAGTGATCTTGGGGAAAACGAGAATCATAGGGTTTAGAGTTAAAATAATGGATTTTATTTCTAATTACTAGCTGTGTGAACTTTGCCAGCCACTTGACTTTTTTGAGACTTATTTTCTTGGCCAATCACAGGGGAATAAATAAAACATGCTTTACCTGCATCTCACAGCAGTTATATAGATCAAAGGACGCTTGCGACATAGCAAACAACTTCATAAACAGTTGAGCACTATAGAAATAATACCGTATTCGCTACTTGTAGCAACCAGGCCTTCTATCATGTTTTATAAATCTTTGTAGTTTATTTTTCCACACTGTAAACAGTTTTAGCTGGGCTTGAATTTTTATTTTTCTCGATTCTTTTTAATCTTAGAAAAGTGTACTGGACATCTGTTTCCTAAATGTTTTGTTTATAAAGTTTTACTCTCCTTCAATTAAATTTCAGTAATTTTTACCAAAGTTAAAATTGATGAATTTATATAAATTAAGTCTTTAAACCTAATCTGCCAGAAAGTTTAATTTTATCTTTTATTTTGATTTTTTTATTATCTTTTGATTTTTTAAAATCACTTGAAAGTCTTTCAATATGAACAATATTAGGGTTTTTAAAAATATGCTACTTCCGCAACTGTTCATTATCTTTCCATAGTAAGTGATCCACTTCAACCCTTAATCTCTGAATTCATTGCTGAAAGATCAGTATAATTTAGAAATCTGAAATGAGTTGCAGGCATAGCTAATTTCATGCAGGAGATTTGTTGCTAAAAAAATGGTGTAATAAAATTTGTATAAGTACAATTAAAACTTACTGAAAGTGTTCCACTTACAGAAATAATAAGGTAGCTCATTATGAAAATCAAATAACTAGTCAGTCTTTTTATTTGGATTTTCAAAAGTAATATTTGCTTCAAATAATTATATAATTTTAGTATTGGATGAATCCAGCAGGCTTATGCTTTTCAACTGCCTTTCTAATACGCAGAGATTTTCTAACATTACTGACAGGTCTTCCCTTACCAGGCAGTTTCTTCCTTGTGTGGAAATGAGATTAGTAACTGCCTTCCTTTTCTTCTAGTTCTTCCCAGTAGATCTTTTATGAACACGTCTAATCTTGTTTCCAAATGACAGCCTTGCAAAATATTTGAACTTGGCTATCATGCCTATTCTCCTGTCATCCCCGCCCCCTGAATAAGTATCCTCCATCTCCTTCCGTCCTTCATTTGACATGATTTCCGACTTAATCCCTATTGCAGTTACTACTGTCTAAACATTGCCCATTTGTTTACTATCCCTCTTAAAACAAGGTACCTGTTCCAGAACCGATGTTGATCAGTCTGAAATACAGATGTAGGAGAGATCAGATCTGGCCTTTTCATTTGACATGTGAAAATCAGTAAACCCTGGCTTGTCAATAAAATGTTCTTTACTTTCAAGTATATACAGTGTAAGAAACTTGACCAAGAAGTACAAGATGGAATCCTTTAAGTAATTTTTCCAGGGATTTAAAGTCTAAATTATTTGAGCAATGTTTCGTTGCTGTTATTTTAACTCACGTAAAGCATTGTGCCAGACACAGTAGGAAGCACTTCACATGCATTATCTTATTTAATCCTTATATTGTAGTAGGTCACATACCTAGGAAATGGTGGAATGATAGTAAACCAGGATTACCTGATTCCAGAGACGGGCTCTACCTACCATACTGTTCTGCCCTTAGTGTGAAATATGGTATTCCGTATTGAGTATTTTTTAGGAAATCAACTGAAATGGTTAGTGATGACAAGAGATGAGAGTGTTACATACATTGCTCACCAGTTAAATAAAATTGTACTAAATCTCTTATTATGAGTTGTATTCAAGGATTTCTTTTTTTTTTTTTTTTTAAAGGATCTTGACATGCACTATGAACCCACAGACACTGCTGCTATGGCTCGAACATCTAATCTGAATGAGGAACTTGGCCAGGTAAACTAAATTTCTTATTGATATGTTGAATTGGAAGTCAGATTTGGTGTAATTTCTGCCATATGTGGCAACTTCAGGTGAATTGACAGCTCCTAATTTTCCATTTTTTGAATGATTGGCATAAATACATGTTAGTACCTAACTTTCAATTTTCATTTTTAGTGAATGAACATTATGTAATGCGTATTCTGTTCTCAGGATAAGATATTACACAGAAAGATGTCCTTCAGTATATAATCTGACTAATATATAAAGTATTGAGTGCTTTTGAGTTATAAACTCCCAGTATTAAAATTGTGTATAGCTTTTGACCAGAAAGGAAGGAAATGTTAGTTTATCAATGAAGTTGTATAAGTCAAGCAGGAATTTGAGATTTATAGTTCATACTATATTCACATATATGTATATATTTGTAATTCATTTATACGTATTAGTTAAGAAAGAATTCTTCTTTTTTTGTACCATTGCCATTTGCTAACTCTTACTCTTCAAATAGCATTTAAGCCAGAATTATCCTTTTTCTTACCAATTCAGATGTTGTATGAAGTTAATTTTAATTGCAACCCATCGCCAATCCCATAATTGTTTGTTATGTTCAGAAATGCCGATGTTTTAGTGCTCTATACATGTTAAGTAGCTATAGAGGCACTTACTAGTGGAAATTCAGACCATATTAAGCATATTAAGACAGATTTCTATATGACTGTAGTTTTTCTGCTAGCTTGAGAGACTAGCTTTCATATAGGATTCATTGCTAAAATACGAAAAGAAATAGTTGAAAATATTCTTTAGTGATGTGCAGAAAGTAGTCAGTTAATAGCATTCATTGTGCCCCTACAATGTAACAAAATTGATAGAAAGAATAATGTAAGGCTTTTTCCCTTCATTAAAAACTGGCTTAAAAAGACCTCTGAAATTTTAATGAGAATTTTTAAACTTTTTTTTTAGGTAAAATACATATTTTCTGACAAAACTGGTACTTTGACATGCAATGTAATGCAGTTTAAGAAGTGCACCATAGCTGGAGTTGCTTATGGGTGAGTTTTTTCCCTTTAATTCGAGTATGATATATAGATTTAATTAATGCTAACGGTTTGGTATAATTTGGGGAGTTCTTATTAGGGGAGTTTTTTTAATCTAGAAGGCAGCTATTTTAATTTTAGCATACATGTACGTTTTGTGTTTTATAGTTTGGTATTGTTTTTCACTTGGAATTACCTGTGAGGCAGGGGCTCCGCCCAATAATATTTCAGTGTTTAGAGCTGCCGAAGGTCTCTATCTGGCTCTGGTTATAAGGTACAAATACACTTCCCTCTCCATTGTCGTGAAGTCAGAGTACAACCTGCATGTGTTAAAACATGCAGCCTGGGGCTTCCCTGGTGGCGCAGTGGTTGAGAGTCCGCCTGCCGATGCAGGGGACACGGGTTCGTGCCCCGGTCCAGGAAGATCCCACATGCCGCGGAGCGGCTGGGCCCGTGAGCCATGGCCGCTGAGCCTGCATGTCCGGAGCCTGTGCTCCGCAGCGGGAGAGGCCACAGCAGTGAGAGGCCCACGTACCGCAAAAAAAAAATAAAAATAAAACATGCAGTCTGTCCTTGGGCAGTTTTCAAGTTAAAATATTGTTTCTCTGATAGTTAGTCCTTTGATTTCTTTTTATCATCTCTCCTCTTTGCAGTCACAGAGCAATCTAAATTTCTGATGACGGGAAGGAGGTAGGGACACAAAACTCTTAAATCCGGGAGATAATAAATATCATCAAATACTCTTATCAGTCTCTTAACATCCTTTAGAATGTGCTTGTTGAGCACCCATTTTTTTTCTTACTTCCAGGTATTCTTGCCTAAACTGCTCAAAAGCCTTCTTTTTGAAACACTTTATAGGGTAATGTGAGAAAATTAATTTCTACATTTCCTAAAAAGGCATGCTCAAAAGATGAAATAACATCCTGGCTGACTGACCTTGGCCTACTATTAGATTTTCCAACTATCTTTATCTACAAGTAAGACTGGTAAATGTTGGTATCTTAACCATGCAAGCAAGGGCACTTGCCTTTGGGTTTTCTGGCTTGTGCCCACCCCTTCCCCACTCATGCTCTGTCTCTAAGCAGTAAGCCAGTATAAAAATAGGGTATTGAATTATGAAAATGCCTTTATTTAAAACCAAATAAACGACCACTTGGTAAAAAATTCTAAAAGCATGTGATTACTCCCATATGCAGGGTCTACAAAGAGAAATAGATGGAGGCAGATGTTCTTTGGGTTAGTAGAGAGTATGACTAAAATTGACTTCAAACTATGTGGGTAAATGAAGCTAAAAAGGCGTTTGACGTAATGGCTTTTTTACGCTGTAAGGGCAGGCTGCTAACTTAAGAAGCCTATTTACTATTTCCAGGGCTGAATGCCATTTTGCATCTTCCCTTTTCTGTCTGAAGATCTCCCAGTTCCCTTAGACAAAAGAGGCCTTCTCTCCTCCCCCCAGTTGCTACAGGCCTCTTCGTTTTGCTGCCGGGGCAGGAGAGGTTCAACCATAATCTTTGACATTTTGCATTTATATGTTCGACCCACAGTTATCCCAGATGAGAGAAGGAAAGGCCTACTGTGATTCTAGAGTTTGTTGTATTATACTTGCTAACAGATTTATGGTGATGTTTGTTTTTACACAAATTCTGCATTCATTCATAAATATTACTTTTAGAGGGTTCTGTTTGGTAATTGACATCCTTTTTTAATTTGTCCAATGTCCAGTTGAATAAGCAAGTTCTTCAAATTAGTAATTATTGATTGTGAACTTATCAGAACAGAAAACTAGGATGATATCTAGGTGCTCTTTTCTTTTGCATTTTATAAGATTTTTTCTTACTCTTGGAACAAGTTCTTAAACATTTTCAAGCAGTAGTTGTAAAGAATAACTACCGTAAAAGAATATTGTTCTTCCTGTGTCTATTGGTGATATGGTCATTAACAATTATGTATTATGTATTATGATAGGGTGGGTTTGAGACTGGCAAATGTTAAAGTAGTATTCAGAGTTGAATATTGTCATCATTTAGATTAAGTTTGCACCGAAACAAATTTCCTCCTGGGAAAATCACATCTCTTAACACTGATGTGCAGTTGTAAGACATGAGTCGTAGTCCTGGCTTTGTCAATAATTCACCATGTGACCCTAGACAATTATTTTCAAATATCCCAAACACTTTAAAATGAGGGTGGTGAGACCAGATGATCTCCAAGATTCTTTTTCAGGTATAAAGTTCTAACATGTTTAGAAATTTAAAAATAGGAATTCCTTTATTTGCAATTTTTAACTGTGAAAACAGAAATACGTTTCTTCTTTGGATAATGTGTCATGTTTTCAAGAATACCAAGAGCCTTGTTGAGTGAAGCCGGTTGTTAAACTACTTCCAGTAAGTTGTGTATGTGCTCTTAGGATCCTTAAGCCAGACCGAGTTTTTATCAACATCCCCTCCCCTAAACGTTCCCGATGGACAACTGGAATGTCAGCATTGTAGAGAGTTGTTGATATATGAAGGCTTTGGAGAAACGGTGAGACGTCAGACTACTCAGGTGGTTACAGTAGGAGAGACATTTGGCTGTTACTTAATTCCATCAAACTCCACAGGAAAAATTGATTACTGAAAACTTACGTTTCTGTTGGCATTTCCTCTGGGCACTCTTTGGTTATAGGAACCATAACATGGTTATACTGTGCAGCCTGCCCTGTAGGAGTGTTTAACACTTGTTTAACATGGGGAGATATTACATGCGTACACTTCCAGCTCCAGCAGAAGAAAGTATGGTGGTTATCTCCTCGGAGTACAGCAAAACAAAGGAAAATAACAGAAACTTTCATGTATTAACAAATGCCTTTGGGGTAATGATTTCAGAGCTGATGCTTCTTAAGCATTTTTTAAGAAAATAAAGCCTCCTTTTACCCTAGATAGAGGCAAAGATGAGTTCTGTTGGCTTTTAGCAGTCTGAAGGGCGAGACTTGAAGTCTCTTGACAGTACAATCTTTGCCTAGTTCAGTGTATTCCATAGGCTTGTAGGAAGAAAATATTTAACACGTAAAACAATGCTCCAAAATTTAGTCTTAGTAAGTTTTCTCTCATTTCATATAACCTTGGCCCTAAATTGGATTCATGATGGGCAATAACATAACATTTGTACGTATCTAGCAATGATGATTATTTTGTAGAGATCAACTTTGTCAGAAATGCCACCATGCTTAAACTTATTAGAATGTTTCATTAGATTTTTTTTTAGTTAAATGTAAATAAATTGTGATGTAATATTTGTAATTTAACTTATTACAAACTAGAAATTCTGCTGTTAAACATTTATTAAGGCCTCATTTCAGCAAATTGCCTCCTATAGGGAATAATTTCATTTTATCACAGTTACTTGAATGCCAGAAAAGGTAAGGAGGCTTTTATGTTTAGTGGCTAGAATTCTCAATACAGTGACTGTTCTAGACTACAGTCCTAAGTACTACCTTTGTCGATGATTTAGATCTTACTATTGGAATGAGCTGATGAACTGAGTACAATCTCTAAGGTTAAAAAAAAAGATTCTGTGAAGCAAACTAAACAATATTTTTTGTATGGGCAAGTCATTTAAATCAGTATTAAAAACATTTCATTGACATTTTCCCTTTAAGTAAAAACCAAATGTTCCTAAAAGCAATCTTTATTTATATATGAAAACAGTATGTGAGTAGTTTCATTTCACAATATTTTGTTTAGCAATGTTTACTGAAAGAATCAGCAACTTCTTTAACACTGAGAAGAGATTCACCATGAGAAGCCTCACAATTATCAAAATAGTTAGTCCCAAGGTCTATATTATAACCAATAAATGTATCTTACTGCTCACCATGACTGGTGGGTAACGTTGGGCAAACACCATTTGTTCATTCACATGCCTCAACAAAGTGCTTTAGATGTATGTAGCACTTTGTTAGCTGATGGAGATTTAATGATCAGCAAAAGTTCACATAGCTTCTGCCCTCCTAAAGTTTATAGTCTAATTGGAGGTTAATGGATATAGTTAAGAAATCATACAGACAAGTATAAAATCACAACACAGTACAAAGGTCTGTGTGAGCCTGTGATTGGGAGTGAGGGAGGAGGGTGATCTAATCAGGGAGATCAGGGACTGTGATGCTTAAGGCTGAGATCAAGAATGAGTTGGCTTAAGTAAAGAACTTACCAAGCAGATATAACAGCACTGACCCACAAAGGCAAATAACCAGACAGAACATACACACCAGAGCCGCTGGAGCAATGATCTTGGGGAAACTCATGCAGACAGAATAAGTAACAGGTATGTGGGTCGCCTGCTGCTCACCTCATCACATTCTGAATAGCGCTCAGCATCTGCCAGGGCTGGACCACGCCCAAGGAGAGCGACTCTAAGCCTTGAGCTCTGAGGCTTTTCAAAAGCTGCCTGAGTTCAGAAGTACAAGCCCCTCTCCAGGTATGAGATCCAGGGCTGCAGTACAACAGCAGTGCAACTTGGCAGAACCTTGACACAGTGTTTTTGCTTGGGCCCCTTTAGTTATGGCAATGCAATTGATTTTTACTTTAATATAACTCTTTAAAGAACCATCCCCTCGTGGTAGTCAGATTTACTTCTGAAATGTTTTCAATACTTGGCAGATTTTATCAGTGTGGTAGTTTGTGTTCTTAGGTATTAACATGTTTGTTTCATTAAACCATTTATTCTGATTATGCAATATGTGATTAATTTTCCATTGGCTTTAGCATATATTTAAACCATTAAGTTCAGTATTTCCTACTGAATACTGAATTCTCTGCATAAAATCAAGAAATTTTATGGTGAAGAAGCAAGTTGACTATCCAGTTAAAGAATAACTTTGTAAATCTGCTTAGTTACCATAAATCATACTTACTGTACTAACTGCTATTCTTTCAAAATTAACTAAAAGTTTATTTTCTTAAGTTTTTCAAGATCTGTCTCTCAGCACTTCCCTTATTCATGCTTTTATGTTTCCAGCCTTTCTGTGATTATTTTGTCCTTTCTTTCTGTCCCTCCTCTTGCTTTCTGAAGCCATGTCCCTGAACCTGAGGATTATGGCTGCTCTCCTGATGAATGGTAAGCTGCATGGACCTTTCTGTCTCATAGCTCCCCTTAAAAGGTTTGCATTTTATTGTTTTGTTAGACACATTTCACTCCTTTTGAAAAAATTACTGACCAGGCAGGGTGACAACGTTGTAAAGTATTTCTTAAAATCTGTTGACTATCCCTGATTTCCTATCAAATAACCTTTAATCATTTTATAAACATTTCTTTCAAAGTTTAGGCTTGCTAGAGTTTTATAGAGCTATGTATCTGTAATAAAATATGTAATGATCAACTCAGTTGATCTGATCAACTCAGATCATCAACTCACAACACTGGGCTGTGGACTATTTAAGATTCAGCTACAGCTCGAGATATTTTCTTTTTCTTTTTAGCTCAGCACTGCCACCTTCTGCCACTATTTACATACTCTACAGAGCTACAAAAAGCTGCTACTGAAACACACCCACAGAGTGAAAAATTTCCTTTACATTTATTTTTGTTAATTTACTAAATCTGTTTAGAGGCTAGAAAATAAACATTTTTTTAAATTAAATGTCTGGAACAAATGTTGGAAAACCATGCTGCCAAGGACTAGAGTTAACTGGATTAGAATTAATTTTAGAATTGTTAAATATGGCATTTTATAGGGTTAATTTCAGTATGTATTGGGTTTTTTTGGTCTTACCTTAAAATCCCCCCATGGATTTACATTTTTATTTAGAATGGTATAAGTTTATTTTGATAATTCATCATGATTTGGTGGCAAGTGAAATTTCAGAAAACAGGTTCCTTTAATGCTGGTAACTCTAGAAAACATGGCTTTATATGTGGTTACATTTCTATTTTCAGATTACACATGTATTTTATGATTACGCCGTATTTTTCAACTTGTATTTTATTTCAGTAAAGTGGAAATTTAGTAACAATTTGCAGTAAACCTCATACTACCTAGGGTTAATGACACAGGCAGCTGTTTGGTTCATGTGATAACTGATGAGTCATTATATTTAAGCTCATCGCTTGGAGTATCATACATTTTGACACCTACCCACAGCCAAATAATTTTTAGTATTTTTTAAATGTGCCAAAGCATCTTACTGTTGGTGGGTAATTCAAGTTTAATGATGTAGATATTCCCTTTTATTTAATCTTTTGAGAACGTAGTTAAAATTTTGACTATATCTTGTTACTTGTTGCTTTTCTGTAGAATTAACATAATTCTATTAATTTTAAACACTGTTCATGAGTGTAGGATTAATATATATTTTTCTAAGGTAACTCATATTAAGAGAAGGAAATTACCTTCATCATATTTTTCTTAAGATTGGATGGAAATGTTAAAAATTGTTGTTTATTCAGGTCATTTAAAATATCTTACTTTCAATAGAGGTTTTTTCATGATTTTATCACTATTGGAAAGAGAAGATGTTATTTTATCTGTTTAACAAGTTCTTTTTGTAAAACACCCTTTTGGGAAATTTGATATTCTAAACTAGGTAACTCCAAATTTAAAAACACCAGCTTTTTCATAAATTTTTGTACCATTCCACTTGCAGTTACATATAAACTTAGATATTAATGATACTTTTTTAAAATAAAAGGGAAGGCTTTTGCCAACTTTTTAATAAAGTAAGCTTTATTTTAAATATATACTTGGATTCCCGATCTATCCAGTAGTTACCTGTAGGCAGCAAAGATGAAGGAACAGATACTACTTGAACTTTAGTTGTGTCCTTGGTCCTATACAGTTGTCAAGGATACAGACTTCGAATTTTGACTACCGAAGTTCACATCCTGATCCTGCTGGTGCTCTTGAACCAATTACCAAACCTCTATGCCTGTGATTCCTCATCTGGCAGAATGTAGACATCATAGGGAGGTTGTGAAGATTAAGTGAATTACGTTTTTAAAGTGCTTAGAATAGTGTCTGGACATTATAAGCTCACAGAAAGTGTTAGCTCTGGTGTCTCTCGCTCAATCGTCAAGACATATTTGAGGAGTTATAATTGACATGACCATTCTAAAGTTGGTGAAATAGTCAAAGAAGCTAATAAGTAACTTGCTCCAAAGTATACAACCAGTAAACATGGGAGAAAGAATTAAAACCTCTCTCAGCCTGGTTATGAAGTAGGTGCTGGTTATATTACATCCGACAGGCTTCAAAAATATCTGCTTTTAGAGCAAAAGATATCCTTACTATTTGTTATTTTATTTTTTCTTCGTTTCTTATTTTGTTAAGGTAGCAAGAGCAAGTAAAGTTTAACTGACTGACTTGAGAAAAGTTAGCATGGGGGGGACACAACTTTGCACAATCCTAAATCTGGCATCTGCCTAATCTGGTACACTTGGTTTCATGTTGCCAGTGAAACCAAGATTGAAAGTGTTATCCTGGTTGAATCCTACACTCCAGGTACCTGGCCATATCTTCATGCTGCTCGTCTTCAGGGATAAACTGGAGAGTGTAGCTGACTATATTAATCCAAAATCTGAAAGTTTATTTTTGTCTGACAGTCAGCAGCTTCCCCTTTCAATGTGAAGTTCATTGATTCCACATATAAAACCTGCGGCCTGTACTGGATATTTTACTACCCTACGTGAACCATATTTGCCACAAAAATACCAAGTTAAAAAAACACGTAACAGGGGCTTCCCTGGTGGCGCAGTGTTTGAGAGTCCGCCTCCCGATGCAGGGGACACAGGTCCAGGAGGATCCCACATGCCGCGGAGCGGCTAGGCCCGTGAGCCATGGCTGCTGAGCCTGCGTGTCCGTAGCCTGTGCTCCGCAACGGGAGAGGCCACGACAGTGAGAGGCCCACGTACCGCAAA